CGCCTATAATGACTAAACCATCAAAATCTGTGCACACAACTGAAAGCAACTCAGTGAAATGATCAGTGAAACTATGGCATGACTGTGGCGGCTTGTACACAACAATAATAAGAATGGAAGAAGATTTCTTTTGTTCTATTTTAAAAGAAACATACTCAAATGATGAAAATTTCCCAAGAGACACTCTATGGGAGACAATACGATCTTTAAAAACTGCTGCTATGCCCCCCCCCCTTTTATTTTCTCGTGTTTCATATTCAAATTTGAAATTTGGTGGTGAGGCTTCTATTAAAACTGCATCTCCTGTATTATGGTCAAGCCATGTTTCAGTCATAAACATAAAATCAAGATCATACGAACAGATAAAATTATTAATTAAAAATGATTTGTTGCATAGTGATCTGAAATTAAGTAGAGCAAGGTTAAAATTAATATCAGTGTCAGTGGGTTTAGTTGATTGATTACAAAGAACTGGAATTAGATTTCCAGAGTTGGACCGTCTAACTGCTGTCCTTCTTTTAAATTTGTGTTTATTCAAGTTAAAACACATTTCTGAGCTGGTGCGAGGAACACACACAGTCTCTATTGGTTTAAAAAGTGAACTCTGTTGTACTTTGTTAAGTTCCAGATGCATAACTGAGTCAGCACAGTTCAGTGGCAGGACTGTCGTTACACTGCCAGACGGACAGGGGTCAGTGTTTGCACCACAGTACTCACCCGGTGCTGGTAAGGAGGAGGAGGAGGGGGGTGGTGGGGGCCGAGAAGCCTCAGATGTAAACAGTCACGCCCCCCTCGGGGAGCACTGAACAACATGGCGTAGGAAGTCCGTCAACAAACTGGTGCCGTATTTGTTCGGGTGCAGACCATCTGGACGATAGGCCACGTGACGCTTCCAGAACAGGCCAAAGTTGTTCACAAAAAAAAAGTTAAAAGTGCTGCATGTAGACTGGAGCCACATGTTGAGCGCCACAACGCGACTGTAGAGGCAGTCACCCCGGTTTACAGTCGGGACTGGACCAGAGATAAAAACACACAACCCGAAGGACTGGAGAAGGCGGAACAGATCCATAAAGTGCTTCTTTGTGACCTCGGACTGCTGCAGCTTCATGTCGTTGATCCCCACATGCACGATTACCTTGGATATGGTATCAGGCAGGGAGTGAAGCAGAGGAGGGAGACGGATGAGCAGGTCTGGTACAGTGGCTCCGGGAAAACACTGAGTGACCGCGTTAAAAAAGCGGACGTGCCTCACGATGGAATCTCCAACAATCAGAGTAGTTGGGGCGAAAAGTGGACGCGGCCGCGGAGAGGGCGCTCGGTGTCCATGGCCAGAACCAGCGGGCTCATCCAGGGATGGGTCTGAACCAGGGCGCTGCTGAACACATGGAGAGGAGTGGGGGTGTTGATTCCCAGCTCCGGGCAACCCACGCTGTGTGCACGGAGACGCTGGAGCAGCGAGAGGAGCAGGCTCGGGTCGCTGCTGCTGACCCGGTGAAGGTAAGTGGTGGTGATGCACTGGGGTCAGAGAAGGGGAATGATCACTCTTTCGTCTGAGGACGGCTTCCTTTAACCCTCTATGCACATGGGTCATTTTGGGGAACTTTCCTCGCCTGGTTTTCTTTGTGTATAATTGTTCATAAAACAGTCATCTTTTGATGCAGAGTCAAGCAGTATACTTTGTTTTTTTCAGTACAACCTGGGGTTTTAGAATATTCATATTGTAAAGCTGTCATATGAATTATATAAAAATGATGGAATCATAAAGACAAAGAAAAAAATCAAACGGAAAATCAATTTAACAAAAATGTATTGAAAAAACACAATGAAATGCTATAAACAACTTTTTACACTGCATAGAAATGTTATTTATGGTCTTGGGGATAATGGGGAAAAAAACTGAATCTCTAACTATTATACTTTTTACAAAATTCCACTATAAAAGCAAAACACTCTGTACTCCTGATGCCCTTCCTGAAGCAGTTTGTCTATAATGCTGGGGTTGCTTCTGTAGTACCGCTGTAAAAAACGTAAAACATAAAAAACTGAGCCAAAAAAAAAAAAAACATCAATTATTTATATAATACATATATTTATATACATCATATACACATAATGTCATTTTACTGTATTTATTATTGTCTTTATCAATAATGCGCACTCTTCAGCCGGTTATTGCAATCGCAGCTGTAGTTTCAACTGTGGGAGAACAAGGAAACGCAGAGGAGTGAGAGATCGCACTCTCTGACGATCTTTGGCAGTCCCCGTGTGTTTGTATCTCACAGCTGTTTGTAACTCACGGGTCACGCTTTGGACACGGACTTCAGACAAACGTAGTTTATCCTCCGTGCATCGCACAGACAAATCAAAACTAGTTTTGGAAAGCCCTGAATACGTACTTCACAGAGAAAAAAAAAGTAAGTTGCTACGTTTTACCGTTCGCGAGTAAATTGATCATTTGTAAAACATGTGCGCGTGCATCGGCGCCGATGCACGCGGGCATATAGGGTTAAGAGTGTCTTTCTCGCAGTGGACCTGGATCCACGGACAGCAGTAGAGTTTGCTGCAGAGTCCAGGGGTTCTGCTGAGGGGGCTGGGATGTCAGCGGAGAGGGCTGCATAGCGGTTTGAAAGGCTCAGGACATGGGCCACGGCGCTGGATGGCTCCTCGCAGTCCGCAGGCTCTTTATTCCGAACCGGGCACTTAGGTGTAGAACAAGAGGGCCCAGAGCTGACAGATCTCTCCCACACGACAGTGTCACAGTATGCAGCGCTCAGTGACATAAGCCGTGAGTGCTGCCCGCCAGCGACATCAAAAAGTTTGGACACGAGTGACTGTTTCTCCTGCAGCTCTGCAGTGAGGCGAAGGACTTCTTTACGGAGGTCTGCAATAGTGGCACGGTCCCTCTCACGAAGCTCCAATGTGAGGCGACTAATGTCGTTCGTGGTCATTGCAGTGTCACTTTCCATGTCAGTGGTGCGCTCGTGGTAGCCTCCGAGCTAGCGCGTTTCGATTGGGTCTTTGTGTTAAAAGACGTGATGCTCTGGAACCATTACATTTAAGATAATAAAACACTAGAGTGTACAAAAGACACTAATACACCGTAAAAACGTGTTTAAAAGGCTTTAAAAGGCTTAAAAGGGTAAACAGAGCAGAGACGTCAAAACGCGTGCTCACTCCACCTACACAGACACCTTCTATAAAACTATTAGGGCCCTTTAAAGGGGACATATCATGAAAAATCCACTTTTTGTGCCTTAAATGCCTTATGTTGTGTAGTTGGAGTCTCTAGAAGTGCAAAAAAGTTGAAATCAGTCTCTTCATGGGTTGCAGAGAACACTTCATATTCTGTTTAGGTAAGATTTTTCAACCCGTTCTGATTTTGCCGTTCTCTATTACGTGTTTAGAATTATTACGTCACAGTATTTGCAGCGAGACTGCCATATAAGGGCATGGGCGTCTAACAAAACACTTCGGCCCAGCCCTCCTCTACTGTGCATCACTTAATTTGTAGTCCAAGCCCAAGGATGCCAGCGAACAGGGCTGGACTGGCCATCGGGCGTTCCGGGCAATGCCCAAAGGGCCGATGCCCATATTTGGGCCGGTCTGTCTGCCTCATACAAAACACATGTTTATGAGAAGTGTAAATCCGTTGAGAATTGTTGGAGCGGGGCGCGCGTATCCGCGGGGCACCTGCTGTATGTACTCGAACGGGATTCCGCCACCTCAGCGGCCGCAGTGTTCCGGGGCATCTGCGGCCGCTTTGTAATGAGCAGCTTCTGCGTCCAGCGGCTGCGAGAGGCTGTGAGCGTCCAGCGGCTGTGAGAGGCTGTGAGCGTCCAGCCGCTCGCAGCCGCTCCACCGTGTTGTGGCTGAGCGCGCAGCCTCAACGTGGCCATGTACCCAACCCCATAAACGCGCACAGGACCATGCGTGTCTTTGAGTAATCTGTGCACCCAATAAATACACTGCTGCAGGAAACAGTCCGCGTCTCCCTCTCCTCTTGAAGCGCGATTAAACGCCCTAAATAAAGCTCTGATACCTACATTTTGCATTGCATTAAAGGTTCATGTTTGAGCCCAAAAGTAATATGTTGTGAACAAATTAAACATATTTAGAGCCAGCAAATGGCTGACAATATGCATTTCAGTCTTTTTTGACCAATTCTCATCCCTGTAACAAACAATAGTGTTGTCTGTGTCACCTCCCTCACTCTGAGACATGTTTATTACTCTCTTGTAATGTAGACTATTGCATTTTATTTTATTGTTGAAACTGCACATATCCTGATCCTCTACAGTATTTGCTTCCACATACTGTATAAACTAGGAGTCTGCAACCTGCGGCTCCGGAGGCGCATGCGTCTCTTTCCTTCTGTAGAAGGAAAAACGTTCTTAACGTTTTTAAATGCTGTAAAATTGTGCATAAGTAATATTCAATTTTAAATTTTCTGTCAACGTGTCTGTCAAACCGGCGTGTGAGCCTCATAGACTGTGCGCATGGATCCCAAAGCTAAAAAGAGAAGAGTCGATAATAAGACTGGACTAAGAATGAAAATTAACATTTGCTTTTAGTCAATGAGGAAGGCCTGCTTCATGTTTGCGATGTAATGAGAAGTTTCTATGAGATAATTGTATCTGTGCTTAGTAACTACAAAAATGGCCGCTCGGGGTGGAGTTGAACCTGTGTCACCTGGATGGGGGCGTGGTCAAAAGCGCCTCATTTGCATTTAAAGAGACAGCACCAAAACAGGTTGCTCTCAGACGCACCTCAGAACAGGTGTAAAAGAAAGGCCCGTGGAGCTACAAATAATGAGACTCAGACCCAGGCATTGCAGTTTCGCTTTATATAGACCACAAATTAATGATTTAGATGTAAAAATCAATTATTTGAAAACACGATATGTCCACTTTAATGATGACAGATTAGGGCCCTTTAATGACGACAGCTTTAAGAATAGAGTGTGTCCAGACCTGAGTTGTCGGTCCTTGCAGACGGCCACCATGACCAGCAGGTTTCCCAGAACACTCATGAGCATCACCAGAGACAGGAAGCAGATCAGGGCCAACCGCTTGGGCATACTGTCACTGCGGACACAAGACCAGGAACAAGGACCATCAACCACAGCAAACTGAAGGAACCATCAAACGGAAAAAAGCTATGAAATATGAGGTCAAAATTGCTGGAATTACATGTAATTTTTATTTTAATCTGAAACATTCTGACTTAAAGCAAGATTTTCCAATGGGACAAAGTCAATTCTGTATCTTTTGAAAACACGATCATTTGGGAAATCTTGTTTTAATGTGCCAAATTAGAGATTTTTTTGAACATATTTTTTTTTCACTTTTTGCAGTGTAGCGGCAGAAAATGAAAGTAAAGTCAGCGAGATCAAATATAACAATTGCAGGAAGAAACATCAAAAACCATCGTTGCCATGACTAAACCAGCGTGTAAGAGCCTGAACCAGTCAGATCTATGGTTAGTGTGTTGGGAGAGGGCTCACTACTGCAGGAGCGCCATCATGGAGATGTCAGAGCTGCTGGGTGTGGGTGTGAGCTGCTGCTGCTGTCAAAAGCCGTGCATACACTTTAAAATACAGCTGCAGAGGAGACTGGGGGGAAGGGGCAGGACTGAAGGCTACGGGAAGAGACCAGAGAGAGACCAGAGAGAGACCAGAGAGAGAGACCAGAGAGAGACCAGAGAGAGACCAGAGAGAGACCAGGGAGAGACCAGAGAGAGACAAGAGAGAGACCTGAGAGAGACCTGAGAGAGACCAGAGAGAGACCAGAGAGAGACCAGAGAGAGACAAGAGAGAGACCTGAGAGAGAGACCAGAGAGAGACCAGAGAGAGACCAGAGAGAGACCAGAGAGAGAGAGCAGAGAGGGACCAGAGAGAGAGACCAGAGAGAGACCAGAGAGAGACAAGAGAGAGACCTGAGAGAGACAAGAGAGAGACCTGAGAGAGACCAGAGAGAGACCAGAGAGAGAGACCAGAGAGAGACCAGAGAGAGACCAGAGAGAGACCTGAGAGAGACCAGAGAGAGACCAGAGAGAGAGACCAGAGAGAGACCAGAGAGAGACCAGAGAGAGACAAGAGAGAGACCTGAGAGAGACCAGAGAGAGACCAGAGAGAGACCAGAGAGACCAGAGAGAGACCAGAGAGAGACCAGAGAGAGACCAGAGAGAGACCAGAGAGAGACCAGAGAGAGACCAGAGAGAGACCAGAGAGAGACCAGAGAGAGACCAGAGAGAGACAAGAGAGAGACCTGAGAGAGACCAGAGAGAGACCAGAGAGAGACCAGAGAGAGACCAGAGGGAGACCAGAGAGAGACCAGAGAGAGACCAGAGAGAGACCAGAGAGAGACCAGAGAGAGACAAGAGAGAGACCTGAGAGAGACCAGAGAGAGACCAGAGAGAGACCAGAGAGAGACCAGAGGGAGACCAGAAAGAGACTAGAGAGAGACCAGAGAGAGACCAGAAAGAGACTAGAGAGAGACCAGAGAGAGACCAGAGAGAGACCAGAGGGAGACCAGAGAGAGACCAGAAAGAGACCAGAGAGAGACCAGAGAGAGACCAGAGAGAGACCAGAGAGAGACCAGAGAGACCAGAGAGACCAGAGAGAGAGAGCAGAGAGGGACCAGAGAGAGAGACCAGAGAGAGACCAGAGAGAGATCAGAGAGAGACCAGAGAGAGACAAGAGAGAGACCTGAGAGAGACCAGAGAGAGACCAGAGAGAGAGACCAGAGAGAGACCAGAGAGAGACCAGAGAGAGACCAGAGAGAGACAAGAGAGAGACCTGAGAGAGACCAGAGAGAGACCAGAGAGAGACCAGAGAGACCAGAGAGAGACCAGAGAGAGACCAGAGAGAGACCAGAGAGAGACCAGAGAGAGACCAGAGAGAGACCAGAGGGAGACCAGAGGGAGACCAGAGAGAGACCAGAAAGAGACTAGAGAGAGACCAGAGAGAGACCAGAGAGAGACCAGAGAGAGACCAGAGAGAGAGACCAGAGAGAGACCAGAGAGAGACCAGAGAGAGACAAGAGAGAGACCTGAGAGAGACCAGAGAGAGACCAGAGAGAGACCAGAGGGAGACCAGAGAGAGACCAGAGGGAGACCAGAAAGAGACTAGAGAGAGACCAGAAAGAGACTAGAGAGAGACCAGAGAGAGACCAGAGAGAGACCAGAGAGAGACCAGAGAGAGACCAGAGAGAGACCAGAGGGAGACCAGAGAGAGACCAGAGAGAGACCAGAGAGAGACCAGAGAGAGACCAGAGAGAGACCAGAGGGAGACCAGAGAGAGACCAGAGAGAGACCAGAGGGAGACCAGAGAGAGACCAGAAAGAGACTAGAGAGAGACCAGAGAGAGACCAGAGAGAGACACTTCAGCGTCTCAGAAATCTCACAAACCCGTGTCTTTGATGAAACCTGTGTGTGCGAGTTCACCTTGACCACGACAACCCCCCTCTGGTGCAGTGCTGGTCTCTGAGAGTGGAGCTTCCTCTCTGTCTACGCCTCTGCTCCTTCTAATCCCACAGATCCTCTTCCTTACAGTATGTCTGACCTTGGGTGTGGGGGCCCGGGGCTCAGGCGAGGCTGAGGCGGGGGCCCCTGGTCTGCTCCCCGTGAGGTCCTGTAAGTGCTGCTTTAATCTGCAGACGCCTTTGACATTGAGACGTGTCACGGGAGGTTTGAGAACGACTTTGTGAGAGTTTTAGAAAAGGAAGAAGAGAGTGGAGGAAGTCGGAGCCAAAGGAGAGTTTGAAAAGAGGCTGTGAAATAATTGCTTGTATCTATTGATTTTTATTATTATTTTGAGCACATTCCATTGAAAAAGCTTAAATTAAGATACATTATTATTTTTCATAACTTCTTGCTGCGTATAAGGTTTTGTTGTACGTCCCTCTCCACACACACTTCCTCCGGCTCATCTGGGGGAATCCTGAGGTGTTCGCAGGCCAGAGCTGTTAACGACTACAGTGGAAATTCCCTGTTATGCGGGCGTCCAGGAGGCATCCCAAACAGTTGCTCAAGCCACCTGAACTGGCTCCTCTCGACGTGAAGAAGCAGCGGCTCTACTCTGAGCTCCTCTCCCTAACTCTAAGGGAGCAGCCATGTGGAAAACTTGTATCCGCGATCTTGTCCTTCTGGTCTTTACCCAAAGCTCAGGACTACAGTAGGAGAGTATGTGGATTGACTGGTGATTCGAGAGCTTTGACTGCAGACGCTGCTCCCTCTTCACCAAAACGGTCCAAAACAGTGAACAAGACTCAGACTGCAAGGCACATTTTTGCTGATTTTTACCTACAAATCTAGATATCTCAATTTTGTGTCAAAAATGTGTGTTCTTGCAGCTACAAACTTCGACATGTTTTGTTGTTGGCAGAAAAATTGAATGAATTTGCTCAAGAAGGAGGTAAACTTTATTCGTATGGCACTAAAATATCTCTGGCTTTTCAAGAAAAAATTGTAACCTCTTTATAATGACGTTTATCTGTTTTTATTATTGAACAATGCAAATACTTGACTTCAAATAGAAAAGCATTTTGTTGACTTTGCAAAAAAAATTATATATGCATTAAAATGCCTTGTTGCTCTCCTGTAAACCACGACATCCCAATTCTCCGAGCCTGAAGGAGATTTAAAGTCACTTCTTAAACGTATATTTCTGATCCTCGAGCAAACACAGAAACCATCCCCTCAGAAAAACCACCGTCGCTAAGATTTGTGGAACTGCAAAGAGGTTTCCAACGGGAAAATTACAGCAAAAAGGGACAAAAATAATTCTAAAATTGCTTGAATTGAGTTAATTCCCACAAGATTTGGGACAAGCAACAGATTATTTTAAAAGAGACAAGAAAATTCTCCCTTGGAATAAGAAATAAATTGCAACTGCTCTTGAAATAAGTGGCTCTCCCAGATACAAAAAAAAAACATGTTTCAAATGTGAGTTTCCATGGTTATCTGAAAAATCCAGGTTTACGGTGAAAGTATATTTTAATATCACTGTAGGGAGTCTATTCTCTGTGTTGTGCTGTTAAACTGAAGATAATTTACTCTTACTCACTCACATACATTTGACCCACCCTCCAAAGCCACTGGGGCCTGAGTCAGAAGCAGTGGTGACGGGAGAGACACAGGGATAACATGCAAACTACAGCACTTTCTTGCTTTGAATCAAGAGCGCTAACCACTCTGCCATTCTACAACACCCTGTAGAGTAAATATTCTCCTCAAATCCCTCCAACTTTGGCAAAAATGTCTCTTAATTCAAGCTCATGACTGCCTTAAACCAGATCTGCCAAGGGAAGAAGGGAAGTGATCTTGTTTTGAGAAGATATTTGGATATTTCATGAGTTTTTGAAGCAACTGTGGTCAAAGCTGAAGTCTTCGTTATAACACATGACGCTGGAGCTGGTGCTTTTCCACTTCTGGTTTAGCCCAAGGCCGAAGCCACCGGCATCGTGGTAAATGCTGATTGGACGGCAGTGTTGTGCGTGAACCAGTTCAAAAGAACGCATTCATTGAACACGCTCATTTTTTCGTGAACGTTGAACAGAACGCAACACATTTTTTTAAAAAGAACTTGAACGTGAATTAGTTCATTTTATGTGTCATGAACGGCAGACATCACTATGAACGTTGGAATCTGTTTTCTCTTTTGAAACCCAACGAGAGAAAGTTCCTCCCTCCTGTATTCTCGCATTTTTTCCGCCGAAATCTAAAAATTCCTACGGTCTCCACCGTCTGTGAACGCACCCCGACTCTGTGTTGCGGCGCTGTGAGCTGGTGCTTTTCACATGGGCCCGAGTCGTGATGAAAACACAGGGTGAGTTAGCGACAAAGTTTACACCGTTTACATTTGACATAAAGTATAGACACAGCACTGCAGCGCATTACTGTCTGTAGTTTATGAGCAGAGATGGAGCAACTCCGTTTGGCTCCCATTGAAAACCATGTAAATCTAGTCTGTTTTGTAGTCAAAAGGCTCTCCTCCTGTGGGTGTACAGGAGATTATATATATATATATATATACAGTGCCTTGCGAAAGTATTCGGCCCCCTTGAACCTTTCAACATTTCGCCACATTTCAGGCTTCTAACATAAAGATATAAAATTTTAATTTTTTGTCATGAATCAACAACAAGTGGGACACAATCGTGAAGTGGAATGAAATTTATTGGATAATTTAAACTTTTTTAACAAATAAAAAACTGAATAGTGGGGCGTGCAATATTATTCGGCCCCTTTACTTTCAGTGCAGCAAACTCAGTCCAGAAGTTCAGTGAGGATCTTTGAATGATCCAATGTTGTCCTAAATGACTGATGATGATAAATAGAATGCACCTGTGTGTAATCAAGTCTCCGTATAAATGCACCTGCTCTTTGATAGTCTCAGGGTTCTGTTTAAAGCGCAGAGAGAACCATGAAGACAAAGGAACACACCAGGCAGGTCCGAGATACTGTTGTGGAGAAGTTTAAAGCCGGATTTGGATACAAAAAGATTTCCCAAGCTTTAAACATCTCAAGGAGCACTGTGCAAGCAATTATATTGAAATGGAAGGAGTATCAGACCACTGCAAATCTACCAAGACCCGGCCGTCCCTCCAAACTTTCATCTCAAACAAGGAGAAGGCTCTCCTCCTGTGGGTGTACAGGAGATATATATAGCTCGTAGTGTGAAAAAAATATTTAAGTATCTCACGAAAAAAGTAAAATGAACTGAACTTTGAACTAGTTCAGAATTAAAAATGTGAACTTTGAACGTGAACTGTTCACTTTGAGCATGTATGAACTGAACTTGAACTAGTTCAGAAAAGCTGTGAACTGGCACAACACTGTTGGACGGTCTACGCTTTAACATCACCTGCATTCTGTAACATCTTAGTTCGTCTCAAGAAATGCAAGAAATGTGTCCCTTGGAATGAGAAAATAACAGTTCTTGACATAAAAAAAACACTTGATTCAAGCAAAGATTACTTCATATTTAATCATTTTTTGCAGTGTGGAGACGTGGAAAGACAAACATATCGTAAGTTCTTCAGAAAAAGCCTGAATATTTAACATAGGACCAGTTCACAGCTCAATCCAAATCAAGTTATCAGTCTTTTATGAATTGTAAGAAAGCCGTGTTGCCACAGCAGGAGAGTGGTTTCTGTTTTGTCTCTGTTTTGTCTCCGTCAGAGGAACTCTCCCTGCAGTTCACAGCGAGACGAACCAACCGAGGCATCTTCAATCAGACAAGCAACAAAAGACACATCATGGAGCTTTCATGTTTCATTACACAGCGTTTTCAGGCTTAACCGGCACCGGGCGGATAAGACGTTATGACAGACACCACCGCTGAGGCTGAGGCTGTTGGAGGCTGAGGCTGAGGCTGAGGCTGAGACTGAGGCTGAGGCTGAGGCTGAGGCTGTTGGAGGCTGAGGCTGAGGCTGAAACTGAGGCTGAGACTGAAACTGAGACTGAGACTGAGGCTGAGACAGAGACTGAGACTGAGGCTGGTGGAGGCTGAGGCTGAGGCTGAAACTAAGACTGAGGTGAGGCTGAGGCAGAGGCAGAGGCAGAGGCAGAGGCTGAGGCTGAGGCTGAGGCTGAGGCTGAGGCTGAGGCAGAGGCAGAGGCAGAGGCAGAGGCAGAGGCAGAGGCAGAGGCTGAGGCTGAGGCTGAGGCTGAGGCTGAGGCTGAGGCAGAGGCAGAGGCAGAGGCAGAGGCAGAGGCAGAGGCAGAGGCAGAGGCAGAGGCAGAGGCAGGTGGAGGCTGAGGCTGAGACTGAGGCTGAGGCAGAGGCAGAGGCTGGTGGAGGCTGGTGGAGGCTGAGGCTGAGACTGAGGCTGAGGCTGAGACTGAGACTGAGGCTGAAACCAAGCCCTGGTGATCCAAGATGCCGTCCTATTCAAATGAACTCAGTTGTATTTGGGCATCGTCTGGTCCTCCCGGTTATGAGCAGTGGATTATCTCCCATGATGCTTTGCGCCAAATACACGTGCATGGCTCTCATGCACGCGCACAGAGGGGCTCGGCTGCGCTCTGACCAATCAGAGCTGATCATCCGAGCAGCAGCAGAGCGGAGCCAGAGCGGGAGTTTGTAGCAGTAAAGTGTGGATTTAAAGAAAACAGAAGAATTTATGAAGAAAAAAAGTTCAGAATGACAAGGGACACTAACATCCCCACAACATCTGATCTTTATGAAAGCTGTAGGTTCTCTGTCAGGTTCTCTGTCAGGTTCTCTGTCAGGTTCTCTGTCAGGTTCTCTGTCAGGTTCTCTGTCAGGTTCTCTGTCAGCTGAGGTCGAGCTGTTTTAGTTTACATTGACTTCTATGGGACTTTTTTCTGGGTAACACTCGTGAATTTGGTCTGCAGTACCACAGCGCCCCCTGTGGCCATGGGTGGGACAGCTGTAAGCTAGTAACACCCTATCCAGTTATTATTATAGATCCATGGCTGAGGCGGAGGCTGGTAAGTGCTGGGGTCTGTGTCCTCTTGGGGTCTGTGGTCTCTTGGGGTCTGTGTCCTCTTGGCGTCTGTGTCCTACTGGGGTCTGTGTCCTCTTGGGGTCAGTGTCCTCTTGGGGTCTGTGTCCTCTTGGGGTGTGTGTCCTCTTGGGGTCAGTGTCCTCTTGGGGTCAGTGTCCTCTTGGGGTCAGTATCCTCTTGGCGTCTGTGTCCTACTGGGGTCTGTGTCCTCTTGGGGTCAGTGTCCTCTTGGGGTCTGTGTCCTCTTGGCGTCTGTGTCCTACTGGGGTCTGTGTCCTCTTGGGGTCAGTGTCCTCTTGGGGTCTGTGTCCTCCTGGGGTCTGTGTCCTCTTGGGGTCTGTGTCCTCTTGGGGTCAGTGTCCTCTTGGGGTCTGTGTCCTCTTGGGGTCAGTGTCCTCTTGGGGTCTGTGTCCTCCTGGGGTCTGTGTCCTCTTGGGGTCTGTGTCCTCTTGGGGTCAGTGTCCTCTTGGGGTCTGTGTCCTCCTGGGGTCTGTGTCCTCTTGGGGTCTGTGTCCTCCTGGGGTCTGTGTCCTCCTGGGGTCTGTGTCCTCTTGGGGTCAGTGTCCTCTTGGGGTCTGTGTCCTCTTGGGGTGTGTGTCCTCTTGGGGTCAGTGTCCTCTTGGGGTCAGTGTCCTCTTGGGGTCTGTGTCCTCTTGGGGTCAGTGTCCTCTTGGGGTCTGTGTCCTCCTGGGGTCTGTGTCCTCCTGGGGTCTGTGTCCTCTTGGGGTCTGTGTCCTCTTGGGGTCAGTGTCCTCTTGGGGTCTGTGTCCTCTTGGGGTCAGTGTCCTCTTGGGGTCTGTGTCCTCTTGGGGTGTGTGTCCTCTTGGGGTCTGTGTCCTCTTGGGGTCAGTGTC